GCAGGAATATCATGATGCTGAGAGCTTAAAGTCCATTGGAACAGCAACAATGACTTCTTTCAAGCATTTCAAGAAAGCGATGATGTAGCCAAAGTCCTCGGTTATGATAAAAACCAACTCAATTATTAAAGACCGTGCTGGCACATATGTAATGGTTGCTATAATGTTTTTGGAAAGAAACAATCTTTAGTTCTTTATGGTCTAACTTTCTAAAGTTCTTCTATTGGTAAGACTCAATCTCAGTCATCTTTGATGCTTGTTGCAATATCCCTTTTTTGTCAAGTTGAGAATTTTGATCCCTTCCTAGGAGCAACATATCTTTCACCCACCCCACTCATTTCACTTCTCTACGTATATTGAAAAAGAATGCATAATAAAAGCTAACTTCTATAACAAGTTGAATCCAAAAAAACTTCAAGTATATAAAATTAAAACAACATAAAGACTAGTAATCTAAACCAAGTTCATTACGTTATCAGTACTTGTCTCTGATATAAACACAGAACAGAGAGCAATATTGAATGAAGAAGCAGCAACCTGAGCAACTTTTGTATGTAAACCTTGCCCCATCTCAACACCCCTATGTGCAACTAACATTGTTCCATCAGTGTAAACTTGTACAAGAGCACCTGCCTATAGTCAACAAGATGCAGTAATAAGAATATGAAAAATATAGCAACACTAAAACAAAAACCAATAACCATCAAGAAACATAGAGTTTTCTTTTCTTGTAAGACAACTTCTAGAAGATTATAAAAATAAAATAAAAAAAAAAAGAAAAGAGAAAAAAGAAAAAAGAAGAAAAAGAAAAAAAAAAGAAAAGAAGAAAAAGAGGGCACATGCTTCTGGGATATCTCCATAAAGGCCAGTAACATCAAGTTCCATATGTAAGACAGTCTTACAAGAAGATACTTCATTCTCATCACTTAGTATATAACTACATCAGCTAAGCGATGAACTACCCTATCAACGTCCCTAACAGAGACCTGAGCCCTAACGAAGCATCAACCACTAAAAGGTAAGCAAAGTAATTGCAAAATCCACATGTACATAATCAGTAAAGATATATATATATATATATATATGATAGCCTATATTACATGAATTCAAGAACACATCAGACTTCAGACTGTTGGTAAGCTTCAAGCTATGTTACACGGACTCGGGTGCGAGTATCGGGTGTGGGTGCGTATCTAGGGGTTGGACACTTCAAAACTAAAAAATTAAGGATACGTAGATATGGATCCAAATTTGGATATGGATACATGGATACGTTAAATAGTTATTCCCTAAATATATTTATTATATGAAGATGAGTTTAAAATAGTTAAGAAATAAAAGATTCTGTTAAAAAAATAACAAATAAAAATTATATTAGGCATAAAATAAATTATATTATATGTGATAAAATAAATAATATTTTTATTTTAGGCATAAAAATTATATTATTTATGCTATATTATATATGATAAAAATTATAATTTATAAATTATATTATATATTATTTATGATAAATTATTATCACGGAGACTGGGAAGATTGAAGCAGATGTGGTCCATAAAATTAAGGCAGGGCGACTTAAGTGGATGAGTGCATCTGGGATACTGTGCGATAAACGAGTGCCTACTAGACTAAAAGAAAAATTCTATAGAACAGTTATTAGACCAGCAATGTTGTATGGGATGGAATGTTGGGCAACTATGAAACATGTGATAAGATGAGTTTTGCTGAGATGGGGATGCTAAGGTAAATGTGTGGCAAGACTAGAAAAGACAGAATTAGGAATGAATATATTCGAGAATGGGTAGGAATAATACCGATAGAAGATAAGTTGAGAAATAATAGATTAAGATGATGTGGTCATATACAATGGAGATCAACAGAGACAACAGTGAAAAGATGCGATACAGTGATGGTAGATAATAGTGTTAGGAGAAATGACAGATCTAGATTAACGTGACCTAGTGTAGTGAATAGAGATATGACTCTCCTTAATTTGGCTAACGAAAGTCGAGTGGAGAAGAATGATTCAAGTAGCCGACCCCATTTGATGGGACTTAAGGCTTGGTTTCATTTGGTTTGGTTTGGTTATTATTTATGATAAATTATTTAATTAGAGTGAGAAAAGAGGAGATTGAGAGTGAGAGATGTGAGACAAAAACAGATTGAAGAGAGAGAGAGTGACAGAGGAGATCGAGAGTGAGAAGAGAGATAACAATCGAGAGACAAATATGATTGCAGCCTGAGATGAAGATCGAAGCCCTAATCATAAGTATGCCACTGTTTCCATCTTCTCCATGCCCTATCCCGGCGGGATTCCATACTCATACCTATACCCGTGTCGAGTCGTGTCGACATAGGTATTTCACCAAAACTAATGAGTTTGTGTAACGTAGGTTTCAAGGTCATGCATTCATCGGCTCCACAAATATTAAGGCAAATGACACAATCAAATTCATAAGGTTTCAGCTTCATAACATAAAGAGTCTACTATTATATATGGACTTTAGTTTTTATTTTATAATAGATAAATGAATAGATGAAAGCCTACTATAAAACTTCTAGAATATGAGGAACATCGTTCTCCAGCTTTTATTAAGTAATAAAACTCATCTCCCAAGAAGAAACCCAGAGGAGAATCAATTTATCTCTTATTGTTGTTCCCTAGGGAATCCAAAACTTGGTATCTAGGTCTATTTAGTGAGCACAAACTTAGTATTAATATTTCTTGAGGCCAACTACGTGAGGTTTTTCTATCAAAGCTAGGATCCGTGCTCTTTAGAAGTGATTAAGACAAGAAATTAGGGTTGGTTTGTCTAACATCTTCCTTGTTGACAAGGTAACTACAGTGGAGGCTTGCCTAAATGCTCGATAGCCACTGAGCCACTCAAAGGATAACTAGTCACCTCACGACAAGCAGAACAAGAACCAGCCAAATTGATCAAAGAAAACTTGGGCTCTTTTTGATTGACTTCTCAGAATTTGTTTTCTGAATTTTTTTTGTTTTTTTTATTGTTATTTTTTTGTTCTGGAAAAAAAAAATTAGAAATTAGTTTGACAAAAATAAATACTAAAAAAGATATTTTTGAATTTTCCAGCATTATTGTATATTTCAAGATCAAGAGCAAGAACCTTTCCATCATTTTTAAATCCAACCTGCATCAAAAAATTTACCTTTATTATTGACATGCTCCATCATATTTAAAATTTAGAGTTAACAAGAAGCACAAGAAAGTGCAATAACAAGCTTAAGGAGGTCTCATTAAAAAAGTTGCAAGAGAAAATTTCCTCCTTTCTCCCTCACTACTTTTACCTTAAATGCAGAATCTATTTTGTAGTAAACAACTAACCATGAGTTAAAAAAAAAAAAAAAAAAGAAGTTAATTCTTTACATGTAAGTCAAGAACATGGCGTTTTGAACTTTGTTTTGGAAAATTGAAAGGGATTTCAGTATGTGGTTTCATAATTTCCATGAATTTATGCATTATGATGAGTTTCTACATATTTCTAGTAAGCCATGCAAGCTTTGAGCTAAAGACCAAAAAAAATCGGAAAAAGATGTGGCTTTTTTCTATGTTCCCACACCTAGTTGCATTTTTTTTACCAACCTAGTTTTTGAAACATTTTGAAAAAACAGATTCTGAAAAATGAACCAAACAAAGCCTTGAATTTGGAGGAGTTTCGATAGTGTTTGAACGTCTTTGTTAGTTGGTACTTAATATTTACTTTCTTGATTGAGGGGCACACTTCAGCGGTCATCAGCAGAATTAGTTTGGAGAGCTTGGATTCTTGGAAGCAGGGAAATCTTATGAAAGATGTATTATAGATTTTTTATCTGTCAAGTGGGGCAAATGAGTTACTAGGAGTAGGAAACCTGTAGGTCCTGTAAGAGAACATTTGTATCCACCATGAACTTTGAGATATAAAATTTATGGGATTTTCAGTCTTAAGTTTATTATTTATGGTTTCTTGATCGAGGAGAAGGAAGAGCCATTATTCAAGTAATTAGTTTCAATTAGTTGAAGCTAGGCCTTTGTAATAGATGTTCTTGATAGATTATCAGTAAGAGTTCATTCAAGGTACTAAATTTGAAAGCAATCAGGAAAAATAATAGTGCAGCCAAGCAGTTAAAATAATTCTGTTAACGTCAAAACAAATAATGAAGTTGGTTTTTAATCACTGGTAAAATTATAATTCTATTTCTTATAGGTCAAAATGTGCTACATAAGTGAAGTTAAAATAATTCTGTTAACGTCAAAACAAATAATGAATTATAATTTCAGCTCACAGGGTTCCCACATGATGCAAAGGGAAATCTTCAGAAATCCTAGACCTTTTCTGTTGTCCATTAGCAACACAAATAATCAGTACATCCAAACCTTTAATACTGTCCATTAGAAACACAAATAATCAGTACATATAATGGTGTATCAGGCTAATCAGTTGAAACTTAAATGATGTGCGAGTATGCTGTTAGCACATCTTTTGTTCTTTTCCCTATCAAATTATTTGCAATGATTTTAAACTCCTTTAATGCTACCACCAGCCATGGACAGATGGTAATTGTTCTTTTTAAGCTCCTTTTCATTGTTTTTCTTCGTCTGAGATTTGATCAAAGTTGGACCATTGACGCTGTATTTAGTTGGGGGATTTGAAAAGAGAAAGACAAAAGGTAGTTGAAATGTGAATAAAACATACCTATATTTTACCTAGTTTCACACATTTTTTCCTTGGCTCCACCCCCAAACCCAGAAAAGGAAGCATCAACTATTCATAGCCTCGTCAATTTAAAAGCATTGATATGCAGTCATTAAAACACCACCCTACTTGAGAAACCAAATATACTAATATAATTTCAAAGGTTACCTGGTTCATGAATTTGGTTGTAAACGAAATGCCAAATTTTGTTGGTACCATAGCAACCCCACGCTTCTTCCATCGATTATGAAAATTAAACTTTTCAACTTCTTTTCGAGCCTTCAGAAAGTCACATGATGACTTCAGTTCATTCCAAAGTGTTGAATTTGTTGACCAAAATGTAATACCCATCCTTCACTCAAAAAATTTATTTCCTGATTGGAAAGCCATTTTATGAAAGTTATTAACATATGCAACAGCGGCTACAAATCTGATCTATTACATAAAACACAATGACAACAAAATATCATCAAGAGCAATGACATACCCTAATCTCTTCGGGACTTTTCTTGAGTTCCAGGGCTATTCTTTGAACCCAATTTTCAGTAATAAGCATACCTTGAGGACCACCGAATCCTCGGAAAGCAGTATTGCTAGGAAAATTAGTGAAGCAAACCCTTCCATTTATCTTGACATTTGGGATCTCATAGACATTATCAGAATGAAACATAGCACGTTCAAGTATAGCAATAGACAAATCAAGTGAATTTCCAGCATTATTGTATATTTCAAGATCAAGAGCAAGAACCTTTCCATCATTTTTAAATCCAACCTGCATCAAAAAATTTACCTTTATTATTGACATGTTCCATCATATTTAAAATTTAGAGTTAACAAGAAGCACAAGAAAGTGCAATAACAAGCTTAAGGAGGTCTCATTAAAAAAGTTGCAAGCGAAACTTTCCTCCTTTCTCCCTCACTACTTTTACCTTAAATGCAGAATCTATTTTGTAGTAAACAGCTAACCATGAGTTAAAAAAAAAAAAAAAAAAAAGGAAACAGACAAAGTATTGCAGCATATGGGACAGCTCCATAATTCCATATCTTCAGTTGGTCTCCGGTTATATATACTGCTTACATGCCAAAGTATTGCAGTATATGGGACAGCTCCATAAGTCAGTAAGATTATTTTGTTTTGACAAGTATTGTCCAACAAGACAAATAAAAATAGTACCTTGTACTTTCCAAGAAAGCTATGTCTCTGCCCAGTTGTCTTCATATCTATATCCCTGTCTAAAGTTTGTTTGACAGGTCAGTTGTAATTTATCTTCAGTGTCATCATATCTATATCCCTGTCTAAAATTGGTGGGAAAAAAAAGGAAACAGAAGCCACAGCAGCCAGAAAAAGCTGATCTTGCCACTTTTGACATGGGAAGGCCAAGGACATGGGAAACATAGTTTTGGTGTTTCTGAGGGGTCTACACAAAAAGAATGGAAATGTTAACTGACAATAGAAGTTAAACCGCCAGAAAAGAAAATAAAAAATGAGGCCAAAGACAAGCATCACACACACACTGAACTGAACTCAGTAATTCATGAAACTTGAAACAATGGTGAAGGAAACAATCATGCATTATTATCCATATAAATTAGGGGTGTGCAACAAACCGATTCACCCAATGTACCCAACCAACCTGACTCGAAAAATGATGCTGCAGACAGTTTTGTCCGACCAAACTAATTAAATACATTAAATTTTATACGTGGCATGCTCGTTTGTTAGCTATTGCATCTTTATCTCTTCTAAAAAATTTGTCTACAAGCTGTGTCAATAAAGTTGTTGGAAACATCAGAAGTCATTAATACAACATCAAAAAGCCTGCAAGTCTTTGAAAAGAAAAGAAGTCATTATTATATTTTATAGGAAAACAGCTACCTAATGCCTATCCCAAAGCCTAAAATTCTTCTTTTAATTGATGAAGATTACTGTGAGGGAGATTTCATAATCTGGCTTTGGGTCGTGGTAATGATCGAGCTAAAAACAGGTCCGAGCGTGTTTGGGCCGAGCTAATGTTGGCTTATCCAGAGTGGTTTGCTCAGTTGAGGTCCAGGGCCCATTCGGCCAAGATGATCGTTTGTCAACCCAGGCTTATTGTTTGCGCATGTAGCTCGGCAGAAAGGTCTCTCACGGACCGGCCTAACCTGTCTGGAGTTCGGCCGTACTGGAATGCTACCAAGCTTGGTTGTGATGGAGCTCAGCGAGTGGAGCACTCAGACTCATTACATAGCACGGTCGTGGAAGGCCAAGGAGGATCCCGCCGGGCTACCGAGTTCCCGCTAATGTTGTCTGGCGGTTTGGTTAGGTGGTGTTCTCTAGATTTGTGCTGACAGATGGGAGAGCAGTTCCACGTGTCAAGAGAGTAATGGGTACAGAGTTGTGCGCTGAAAGTATATATAACCATGACTGCCCCCCCATGCGGAGGATGGAGCATCATTTGGTAAGAAACACCCATTGTGCTATATCTCTCTCCTCCTCTCTCTCCCTGAGGATGTGCTAACTTGACCGTCGGAGGGGTTTTCTGGCAACACACCGCCGGGTAGCTCACCGCCATTGTATTATCAGGTTGATCGGATAGACAAGGAGCTTGGACGAAAGGAGTACGGACGGGGATGAACATTTCCTCCCCGTACAATTACAATATCCTTATTCTTTATTTTGTTATTTGGAAACAAGCTTCTCTCACCTCTTAGCTTTCCCTTTAATTCTCATACTCTCTCTCTCTCTCTCTCTCTCTCCAAAACCATAAAGAATAAATGTGATGATAGCCTAGAAATAAATAAATCAACACTCAATCTAGTGACATACCACAAGTGAAAATCAAGTCATAACCAACTTCCTAAAAACATATATATACTAAATGGAACACAAACCGTCCACAAAATAAAATGATTCTAAATAAAACTCAACCACAGTGTATGCACAAAACTCGACAAAGCAACCAAAAACAAATTAAATAAATGCCCTAGAGGTCCATGCAATTGAGTCCCCGCTACGCCATGAGTCCACTCTAAGTCCTTCTAACACCTGAAAATGGTAAACAACTAAATCAGCTGATAGCTCAGTGCGTAGCAACATGGATAGTAATTACAGTTTTGAAAACAGGGTTCAATTCCAAAATAAGATATATATCACAGAAACTAGATTGGCATACAGTTTGGTAAAGAGAATCTGTTTCAAAAAGAAGGTTCTACAGTTCAACACTTAAAATACTCATGTCTCGCAAGAACATGATAAACGGCATTTTCCACTTAAAACATATTATAACATGAACACCAATAATTTTTTAGGTACCAAGAAAAACAAATAATATGCCACACAGTTCTCAAGGCTATAAGCCCTGTTGGATCTAACACCGAACTAAGAGTCATCCTCAGAGTGGCACTTGGGCCTTTTCTCAAAGACGATCCGATTGAAGGTCACCTAGTTGTTTTTAAAGGACTTTTCCTCACAATCGTTGAGCGCTAGTGTCACACCCCAAATCCAGGCATGACCGGCTGTGGCCCATAGGGACTTAGCCCAAGGCACACGTAAGCCTAAACATGAACCCAAAACCATAAAGAATAAATGTGATGATAGCCTAGAAATAAATAAATCAACACTCAATCTAGTGACATACCACAAGTGAAAATCAAGTCATAACCAACTTCCTAAAAACATATATATACTAAATGGAACACAAACCGTCCACAAAATAAAATGATTCTAAATAAAACTCAACCACAGTGTATGCACAAAACTCGACAAAGCAACCTAAAACAAATTAAATAAATGCCCTAGAGGTCCATGCAATTGAGTCTCCGCTACGCCATGAGTTCACTCTAAGTCCTTTTAACACCTGGAAATGGTAAACAACTAAGTTAGCTGATAGCTCAGTGAGTAGCAACATGGATAGTAAATACAGTTTTGAAAACAGGGTTCAATTCCAAAATAAGATATATATATCACAGAAACTAGATTGGCATACGGTTTGGTAAAGAGAATCTGTTTCAAAAAGAAGGTTCCAGAATTCAACGCTTAAAATACTCATGTCTCGCAAGAACATGATAAATGACATTTTCCACTTAAAACAGATTATAATATGAACACCAATAATTTTCTGGGTACCAAGAAAACAAATAATATGCCACACAGGTCTCAAGGCTATAAGCCCCGTTGGATCCAATAACGAACTAAGAGTCATCCTCAGGATGGCACCTGGGCCTTTACTCAAAGACGATCTGATTGAAGGTCACCTAGTTATTTTTAAAGGTCTGTTTCTTACAATCGTTGAGCACTAGAGTCATCACGGCCCAACCCAGATCTGTTCCCTAGTGGCCAGAGTCACCACACACAGTGGAATAATTTCCCTGGACTAAATACACACATGGTCCCAATAATCAATACACATCAGTTTCGCAAAACATGGTAGTTCATCATTATAAACATGAGACCAAAACAAATAGTTTAAAGTATGCCATAATTCACGTGCTGCATGGATTCACGTGCTGCATGGATTGCAAATTTCAATCTATCGACCATCTTATTTATGGTAATTTCAATCTATCGACCATCTCCCAAAAATTCACGTGCTGCATGGATTGCAAATTTCAATCCATCTTATTAAGCCAATAACAAACAAATTCATAACCTAATAGCATGTTCAAGATTATCACACCTTCAAATATACAAACTACAAACATATAATCCTTGAATAGAGTATGAAAGTCCAACTAGTGCCCTGAACCAATATGAAAACTACACGTCACTACTAATTTAAAAATACTAAAGAATACGAACTAAGTAACCCCAAACTAAAGCGCACTAACACGGCTCAACCCAACTCACCGTTACTTTTAAATATTATCTAAGTTCATGTTCTTCAAGGTCTAAAATCACCCAAGACATAGGTTCCGATCAAAACTTAAACTAAAAATAACTTTAAGATAAAAAGTGTTTTAAACAAGTTTTCCCAATCTATTTACTAACTTTGAAAATTACCAAACTCACTCCACGCTATTCGAAAAATTCTAAAACCCTCCAGATATCAACTAATATATCCTAAGTTTCAAACCCAATTGGTTTCACTTGATTTTCTTATCAAAATAATTATCTACAATTTATTATATCCAAACAGGTTGTTTTCTGCAGCACTTTAAAGAAATTGACGGTTCTCTTAATATACACGAGAAATCAATGCAAGGCCAAAAACGTACAAAACTAGACTCGTAACCGGTTCTAATGACACTAATTTGATAATTTTTGGATTTATACCCAAAGAGAACAACACTCCCGAATTTACTGTTTCGGACTGGTTTCCTGGACAGATTTGAATACCTCAATTTATATGGATTTTGACTCCCAAAAATTATGAAAAAAATCAGATGAAATCGATTGTAAGGGCGCATCTGAACTGTAGATTGAAATATTGTTACTAGTAAAATAATTTCTTCTTATTACAAATATTGGTTACAAATTATTTTACAGTTGCCTTCGTTGTACATTTGCTTTCTGGGCTGATGTGGATCCTTCCACTGTGGCTTTTACAGCTTCTCCTAATAATTTGGACACCTCGTCCGTAGTGAGTCTTGATGATTCTGAGTTATTGGATCCGGCCTCGCTTACTGATGAGCCTATGTCAACTGGGCCGCTAGGCTGATTATTTGGGCCAGTGTTGATTAATGATGGGCCGTGGGTCGGCAAAATTATGTCCCGCCGACTGAATGATTGAGGCCCATCCCGAATTGAACTTGCTGACATTCGTGCCGCCATTATTCTTTGGGCCGTTGAACCGTATTGGCCCATCGGTGCTGACAATGTCATTGTGGATCGAAAATGTGATTCGGAATTGCTGCGTGTTAGTTTTGCCTTCGTCACTTTGCGCTCCACATGCCAAATATCCACGTGGCTGTTGTTGAATACTTTGGACACAACAGTTATTAATGGCGGCCGATATGTAATTTCATCTGGAAACGACGATGTTTGGAAAGCCAATGTTGCTTTCAACTTGCAGTATTTGACACCGTCGTTGATGTTTGTCTGTAGCAATTTGTATGACCCTGTCCATGGGCATCCTTTCTTATCTGCGGCAGCATAGGCGTTTCAAAAATATGTTATGTCTACTGGGCATGTAACTAGAAACGTAAAGCGGGCCTGTAATTGATCATCCGCTCGTAGCCGTGTGTCTCGTATTTCGACTTCGACGCGGCCGGTGGAATTAAACGGACACTATGGCCTGTAGCTTAGCTT